GGGTTCTTTTTTTCATAAAGCAAATTTTTTTTCTCAGCTACTAGAACTACATAGTTGCCCACAGTTTGAAATGTATCAAACGTAGAAAATAGGGACACCACAGGAAAAATAGGGCACAGAACAAAAAAAAAGGTAACAGCGGTTTTCCCATTCAGAGGCAAACATGGTCCGGGGTGGAGTCAGCTTTCTGCCTCACTCGTGACTGTGGCAAACAGTTTCAGATCTCCTCACGGGGCTGGCTTTGCTCAGGACACGGACCGGAGAATTTGGAGGACTGTCTCCAAGTAGGCTGCTGATGGAATTTGACCCCTAATGTTCTGGGACTCTCTTTTGACTCTTTTTTCCTATTCCTCACATTAGCCTTATAAATATTCTAAAGATAATTCTCAAGGTTCTTTCTGGTATTTCCCATTGGAAACTGGAACCAGATCTCCCAGGCTGTGCCTCACCAGATGTAGAAAGAAATGAACAGATCTAGAAACAAGACTTCTTAGCTGGAAAGGGTATTGTACTATGTACGTCCTAGCACCAAACACAACTGTGATGAATTACTGGTGTGAATATTTAAAGATCGTCTCCTACCAGATAATTTATCATGTTACATTGTGGGAAGAGTTGCATTTGTCTGGCCCATTACTTAGCATGGTGCGTGGTACAGTGCAGGCGCTGAGTAGATCAGGTGACAGGTGTGTGAGGACACTTTAAGCCACGGGAGGCTGCTGCAGGCAGGAGGACACGTCCCAGTAGAAACAGACCGAATGGCCAGTTAGAGACGGCTCAGCCTAGAAACACATACTAGGAAGTAGACTAAATATTTTTCTCCCTCCATGGCTATCGCATATAATAGAACCAGGCTTCTTGTACAGCTAAGGAAGTCAACTAAATTCAGGTCCTCTGGACATCTTGATGACACAGAGAGAAAAGAAAAACACGAGCATTTAGCATATGATTCGGATGTCATTTTAAGCAAATGTAAAATGGAATAGTTAATGTACAATGTCAGGACTTAGGCTAACTTTTAAAATATTTTTTATTAAATGTGTTTATTGATTTTAGAGAGAGGAAGGGAGAAAGAGAGAAACATTGATCGGCTGCCTCCTGCACGCCCTCTACCGGGGATCGAGCCCGCAACCCGGCCATGTGCCCTGACCGGGAATCAAACCAGTGACTGCTTTGTGCACAGGATGGTGCTCAACCAGCTGAGCCACACCGGCCAGGGCCTGGCTAACTATTTTTAAACAAGGTTAGATTCTAGCCTCATGCCATGTACTAAGATAAATTATATATGGATGAAAGGTTTAAATATAAAGAAGTAAAATTATAGGGGTTCCATACTAAAATGCTGAATATTTAATAATGTAGTGGGGCAAAAGGTTTTTTTAAAAGCAGAACATTAAAGCCTGAAGTTACAAAAGAAATAGAAAAGTCATCCACATAAATATTAAAAACTAGCTGGTGGCAAAGTAATTTAAAGGGCAAGGGACCAACTGAGAAAAGTATTTGCAATATAAGACAGAGTGAGCGCCATTAGAATATACAAGGCTCTTACAAATTAGTAAAAAAAAAAAGTAAAAATAAAAATCAATTGAATATCTCAGTAGTAAAGAGACCATAGGAGCTGAACAAGCAACAAAAAAATGTTCAATCCCATTTATCAAAGAAATGCAGATGAAACCAAGATTGTATTTATTGGCAGGTGAAGAGTACTTACTGAGCCCTTTCTGTGTCAGCCGCTATTCTAAGTGTTCCCACCATTCATATGTATAGAAAAATTTACCAAGTTTTACATTTAACATTTGTGCACTTTATGTATGCTATACCTTAATTAAAGAGCTGTTTTGCTTGTAAGCAGTTTGCCTTACAGTCCACTGGAAAGCACGTCCTTTGGTTGGCCTGACCCTGTGCGCTCTGCCTGATGCTGGGGGGTGAGTGATGGCAGCCGGCGGGAGCCCGGTTTTGTTCCTGCGGAGGGTGACGAAATGTTCTCTTCAGGCTCGTGGGCAGTATATCATCTACAGCTCTGTGACCATTATAAATCAGAGAATTAGGTATAATGGTCTTGAAGCAAAAATTCCATTCTGAATGAACCTGTCTGTTTTCATACTACTTTAATTGTACATCAAATGTGGTACTTATACCAAAAAAGCCTTGCAAAGTAGTTTGTGGCTTGTATTGTGTCTGTACCCACTACTATGGTAGGAAAGATGGGACAAAGGTTGAGTCTTACTTTCATTTCTATGTCCCTCAGTGCCTAGTATATATAGTGCCTTTCACTCGGTTGGAATGTACAAAAAATGTTCATTAAAGTATTTTTTCTGTTTATGTTAATAAAGTAATTCATCTTAAGTATCAGTGGTTTGCAATTTTGAAAAGAAAAAACACAGGTAAATATGATTGGTAGACTTTTCCCAAAAGTTTAATGCTGGAATCTTTGTCGTTGACTCCCAACCGTCCATTCATTGAAAACCCTTGACAGTGATTGGTTTGGGAATGGGCATGTGGGACACAAACTTGCGAATAAGGCATGAACAGTCTTGTTGGTATACTTGGGGAAGGGAAAGTATTTCTCATTCCTAAAAAGAAGGCACATGAAGAGATGGTTCCTTTCTTTTTGGAGAAAGGACTGAATATCTTATTACTGCATATGATTCTTGGGACTCCGATCTAGGGGCCATAAATGGAGCCAACTCTTGAGGTACAGTCCGCACCCCAAAGGCAGCAGAGTCACTATATCGAATAACTAGATTGAACTATTGCTGAATTTCTTGTTTTGCAACACAACAAATTTCCTTATTAAAAAAAAGACCACCTTATGAGATATTCTGCTTATACCCATTCCATAGATGAGAAAATTGGCATGGAGATACTAAGCATGTTTTTAATATATTTTTATTGATTTCATAGAAAGGAAGTGAGCGGGAGAGAGAGAAACATCAATGATGAGATTCACTGATTGGCTGCCTCCTGCACACCCCCTGCTGCGGATCCAGCCTGCAACCCGGGCATGTGCTCTGACCAGGAATCTAACTAATCTCCTGGGTCATAGGTTGACACTCAACTGCTGATCCATGCTGGCTGGGCAGTGGAGCCAAGTTTTGAGTCACATACCTGGCCATCGTGGGCCTGCTAGTGGTACTGTGAGCACAGGCTCTGAAGCTGTCTGGATGAGATCCCAGCCTAGCTACTTATCTCAGTTTCTCCATCTGTCAATGGGAATATCAGTATCCCTCTCAGGGTCTTGATAAGAAATGAATCAGTTAATACATATCAGGTGCTTAGAACTGTATTTAGTAATGTGAGGTATGCTAAAGGAATAATACACAATAGTGGCAAAAACCTGGAGGAAACTTGGTAAGATTACAGATTCCTACATCCTTGAACTCAGGAATTCCACTTCTAGGAACTTATCCAATTAAATAAGTATGACGTTCACAAATTTCTGTATAAGATTTATATATAGATCTATATAAGATCTATATAAGATTTATTGCAGTATTTAAAATAGTAAAAAGCAAACCTACATGTTCAATAATAGAGAGCAAGTTGAATTAAAGCCACCAAACAGATGCAGAGAGATGTTTATTGGCAGAAAGATGCTTGCAGATTGTTAATTGGAAGCAGGTAACAAAGTCATGTACACTGGTATACTGATTTTGTAAAAACGATGCATAGAAAAAGTCTGGGACAATTTCAAATGATAACTGGTTATTTCTCTGGAGAGTTTGTGATTGAGTCTTAATGTGTTTTACGTATTTTTACATAATTTAATCATTTAAAATTTCACTTGGGTATTATTTGCAAAGTTGTAATAATTATTACCATCCATCATGTCTCGTGTCTGATGATATTCTAGTCCAGGTTTCCCTCAACAGCTGTTGCTTTCCTGGAGGGGTGGTTTGCGGGAACCAAATTTGGTTCCTCACCCTGTCTCTACCCACTTCCACAAACACTCTTGCAGATAATGTCCATTTCTGCTTTGTTTTTTAGTTTCACATCTATTTAGCGTGTGTGCCTACCATTCCCTACCCAGGCCCTGGTTTATGCATTGGCAATCAAGGCTATGTCGGCTTGGTTAAGACCACCAGCTTCATTGCTTGAGTGCCTGTCCTGCCACTTAATAGCTGTGTGATCTGGGCAGGCTACTTAACCTCTTTCATTTGAAAGCAAATATTTATTGAGCTCCTCTTACATATTAGGCACTGGGGATAGAGCGCTGAGCAAAAGCAGCACCTGTTCATGAAGCTTGCACTGCAATGGGGAGAGGCCGGTGATTGATCAGGTGATTGCCAGGTTGTGTTAGTGCTATGAAAATGACACAGGGTGGGACTAAATGACAGGGCAGGTGAGGTGTGAATGTGGGCACGTAGGCACTAGAAAGAGTAGTGAGGGAATGTATCTCTGCTAACATGATATTTGATGAGAGACCTAAAAAAACCCCCTTGAACATTTTTGATTAAAAAAAAAGTAAGGCAGCCAGCCAGGAGATGGTGTGTGGAGAGTTTCAGAAAGAGGCAGTGGCCTGCTGGCACTGGCTTNGCAGCCAGCCAGGAGGTGGTGTGTGGAGAGTTTCAGAAAGAGGCAGTGGCCTGCTGGCACTGGCTTGCCTTTGTTCTGATTGTGCTCATCTTTTCCCAACTTTGTGTTCAGTGAAGTCAAATTGATAGGTTGAAATCAGCCTTGATGAGAGCATTTATACACAGAAATCAGCAACTACTATGAATTTCTGCCCAATCCCACCTCCCAGAGAGCCATTTGTTAAATATTTACCAGCTCCACCACCGGGAGGAGGGAGCAGTGGAGAGTAAGCGCAAAGGCCCTGAGGTAGGAGTGTGCCTGGTGTGTTTGAGGAACATCAAGGCAACCAGGGTGGCTAGACTGAGAGGGAAGTGGATAGGAGATGAGGTCAGAGGTAGCCAGGAGCGAGATCGACAGGACTTCACA